ATTCGATTATTCTTGTGTTTCACTTTGCATATTTTGACTTCCCGAATAATAAGATTATTCAAACTATCCACAGTCGATAAATACTTTGGAAGTAGGTATTGAAGCTAGACTGTCGTGAATTGGTTTGTAGACTGTCTAAAGTGTATTAGACATAGCAAAAGTTTGCTACAACGTTCATGAGTGCTTATGAATTAAGATTTGAGCATTGGATTAAACCCACGCTCACTTGAATCACTTCATGGATTTTATCACGAGTGATTAGTGAGACGATAATATCTTATATTCTTGAAACCAAGACATGTGAGTTGTAATTTACAAGTCGGTTGCACATTGATAATATGTAAACGCACCAGTAACTTGGTGTTATAAAACATATTATTGTGTGTGATTTGATAAGTAGATACAAGCAAGCATTTGAGTCGAAGTTTATTCATTCCTTTTACCCAAAGTGGGATAAAAGCGATATATGTGGGCCCCTCGATGATTTAGTGATGAGACCCTAAGCGCTTGGCCAAGCCTGGACTAAGTTGATGTGTTCAACTGTAGTCTGTTGTCAGTCGTCATAAATCGGAAATCGGGAAACAACACATGAACAGAGAAAATGATTAAAATTCATGTCTCAGTTCATACGGTATCTAGAATGGAAGAATATATGATCCCTTATCTAAAGGGCGCGCTTCTAATAAGATCAGAGTTGACAAGCGGCTTTTGAAAGCTACGATTGTTGATCAGGTTCTGAAGTCGTACTTGCAAATAGTTATTAGACTTATCCAAATGGGAGACTGTTGGATTAGGTGTCTAAGCCTATAACTATTTTGGTATGTACTTTACCCGATTATGAGCATGGTCCTTTTGGGTTGCCTTAACCATAGCAACTGATATGATGAATTAAGGAGAAAGATGATTAATTATGATTTATTAATATATTATATGAATAATATATTAAAAGAGAAATCATATTGTTTAATTAATATTGATCAATAATTAATCTAAAATTAATTTTGTGGTCAAAAGAGATTAATTAAACTTGGGGGACTAATATTGTAATTATAAGATAATTGCATTGTAGGCTGAGGAACCCTTGGAAAGGCGTTGGACGAAACCCTTATGGATAGCCCATAAGATTTCGTCCAAAGGGAGATTCTGGAAGGATCTTGTGGGCTGCTTAGAGCCTAAGCAACCAGATAAGGTCTTTGAATGAAACCTTAATTCCTCAACTATATAAGGATATCCCAGGCATCCTAAAATCGGGACTTGAAACCCTAGAGGGAACCCTGGACGATTTTGTGCCTCCTCCTCCTTCTCCTAAGTCATCTTGATGCTAGTGGTGTTTGTGACTCCATTAGAGGTGCAACATTTGAGGCACTAAGCTTTCAAAAGTCAAGATCAAGAAGGATTGTGATTGTTATTGCTACATAACAATCAATGTAATGTTTATAACCCTAATCTTATGTCAATTTCGATAATAACATGTTAGATCCAGGGTATATGCTTTAGTATTCAATGTTGTTGTGTTCATAGTAGAAAACCTAGATCAAAGCAATTAGGGTTGCATGCACACCATATGAATGTTGTAATGCTCATAACCCAATCACATACACCATTAGCTTTACTTTTTAGGTCATTATTACCATATAATTATCATTTGTCTTACTTTTTAACTCATCATTCCCATATAATTATCTTCTGACCAACTTTTATCATTATTTCATTAAAACCTATTAAATAAAGCTTTATTATTTAATAATTATTTTTTTACTAACTTTTATTAATATTAAATTTTTAAATTTATTTTTTATTAGATGCATTTATTAAAATATAAACTATTCTAATATAAACTCTTTTTGGTATATTTTATTTTATATAACAAAATAACAACAACAACAATAATAATAATAATAATAATAATAATATACAGAGAAAATTACAAAAATAGTCATTTTTCCTAATCCTTATGTAGAAAATAGCCAAAAAAACATAAGATTACAAAAATAGCCATTAAAATCGGAGATGTATTAGGACCATCTGTGACTTTGTCTTCTCATCTACGAACGTACAAGTTGTTAAAACGGTGTCGTGCATAAGTGAGTTGTACATTCGCAGATGGACATCTCATTTTTCTTGATACCTTAATTTTTTTTTTGAGCACTCATTTTTCTTGATTTTTTGTGGGGAAAATTTCTCGGAGGGGGCTAATGTGATAATAATATGATTTGTGTTAAAAACTGGTTTTTGATGCATCTTGAAGTTGTACATTTGCATTTGTGAGGTTATACATTCGATTTTCATACTTTATATTTATAGTCAACTGATTTTTGATGCAAATATTATGTAAATATGTTAGACAATTGTGATATAAATATGGTTTGTGTTATAAAACTGATGGTTGTACCTTTGTATTGTACGTCAACAATTATTTTTCACTTGGAAAAGTCCGTCTGAGAGACTTTTTCTCAACAAAAATCAAGAAAAATGAGTGCTCTAAAAAAAAATTAAAGTATTTATATCCTGAAAAAGCTAAAATCGCAGATGGTCTCCCATGTTCACAGATAGACAGGTCCATCTGCGAACGTACAACTCCCCACTACACGAGCCTGCTTTAACAACTTGTACGTTCGTTGATGAGAAGGTAAAATTGCAGATGACCCTAATCCATCTGCGATTTTAGTGGCTATTTTTGTAAAAGTAGTGATCCGTACACAATAACTTTTTGTCATACACAACAATTTGTGTTGTATGGAGTTGTAGAATACGAGCATATAAAACACAAATTGTTATGTGTGACTAAAAACTGTTGTGTACGGATCAAAATCCATTTTGTAATCTTGAGTTTTTTTGACTATTTTCTATTATGAAAATGGTTATTTTTATAAATTTCTCTAGTATATATCATTTACTAATAAACGTCATCAAAACATATGGTTTGACATATAATTTAAAAGAAGAAATATTATATCCTTTAAAAAAATATGATATGAAAATGTTGATTGGAAAAAATTATATTTTTACGTCATTAAAGCATATGCATTAAAACATGGTATGAAAATGTTGGTTGGCATACATTTAGGGAAAAAAAAAAGCACACCAAATGGGATTTAATCGTGCCGGATTAGCAACCAAAAAATTATATATATTTATTGCTAGTAAACATTATTAAAACTATGAGTTTGATATAATTTTAAATAGAAAAACAAGTTATATCTTTAGAAAAAAATCTATAGATATTTGTTGACATATCTAAAATAATTAGAAAAAAAAGGAAAAGAAATTATATCTTTAAAGAAATCTATAAATATATTGTTTATATATTACTTGACATATCTTTAATAATTAGACTAAAAAAAGGTTAAAAGTTGTATGGCTTAAAAAAAAAAACATCATTGGATCGGTTGCCATTGAAAATAAAGAGGAAGTGAGTGAACATAGTTTAATATTAGATTGGTGTGTAATAGAGTTGTGTAAAATGGTGTGTAAAAAAACCCTTAGGAGAAAGGACTGTTATGATAGGTTAGGGAATCGGAGATGGTTGTCATGATGGGTTAGCGAATCGGAAGAGAAGTGGGGAAAGGAGGTACAATCTTCACTTGTTTAGCCATGGAAGTCTGAAGTGGGGAACCACGTAAAGGCTTCCCAATGACTGTTGTATTTGATGCCTCCAGACAGGACCGTTTCAATCATATTTTGGGTCCAGGACGAAAGAAAAAAAATGGACCCTTAGAATACACAAATGTCATCAAGTTTTTATAATAACTCAATAATTGAAAACAAAAATTACTTGTATTATCTTCTAAATATAACAATTGCCATAATAATAATAATAATAAATAAATAAATAAAATGAACCCCTTTAAAAGATGGACCCTAGACGGTGGCCTCTATCGTCCACCCTCTAGAACGGGTCTGCCTCCAGAGTCTACCAAGCTTGAGTCCATGCGTCTGAAATGTTAAACCATATTGTTTTTTGTTTTGTAGTGGTGGTGGGATGTATAGTACTAGCAGCATAAGATGGTGGTGGTTGGTGGTAGACAGTCAAGTGGGTGGTGGACGACGGTAAACAAGTAGGTGGGAGGTGGGTAGTGTTGGATACTAACGAAAATTTGTATTTTTGTTCACCACAGTTTAAAGCCAATGTGATTAAAAAATAGGTAATGTGATTAAAAAATAGGTAGAAATAACTATGTCGCTTTAGCAAATTAAATTTATAAGTTGCGAAATAATGTAAATAATGTAATTGATGAGTAAATGCCAAGATCTATTGCACAGAAAAAATTACTTCAATGACCAATATGAGATAAATCAAAAACTTAGTTGCGCTACGCTTTCATTTTCCCTTTGTTCATTTATGTAAGAAATACTGTTCACTTGGGTACTATCCTACAATCTAAATAACATTTTTTAATGCTGGTGTTATCGTCATGTTAAGCCTCTTGTTTAGCTAAAAAAGAACCGAAACTGAACACAAGTTTGAGTTTAAAAAATTGTAGACTGATTGGTAAAATAAAAAAAATAAAAAAAAAAAAAAAAAAAAACTAGTAATCGATTTTCTTGTTCAGGTTATTCAGTTAACCAAAAAACAAACCATATAAGTTTTTTCTTTCCTAGTTAAACAAACAAATTACCCAAAAACTGAGTAAACCAAACTTTTTTTCTTATTCGGATGGCCTACACAGCTTCAGGTTTTATTACACCACTTTAAAGTTTTTTCACCGATTGTTCGCAAAAAATTCTTTTTATTCGCAACATGCCATTGTGTTGCTTGTTTTAACGGTATTTTACGAACATAATATCATATTCAATGTTCTAACTAATTTTCACAAAATTTCTAGCTATGTTCGTCATGCTTATCCTAAACATTTTAATATTTTAATTATGATAACATTTTTTTTCCTAATCAGTTGTATTTACATTAAATTAACGAATACAAACTGTGTTGTATAAAATAGCCATTGACACTGAGTTATTATATTTTAAAAAACATACTGTGAAATCTTGACTACTTTTAATTGTAGATAGAATATACGTAGAAAAATTAACAAAAGCAAAATTGACAGCAAAAGAAGGAAAATCATTGTTAATCCACATGTGGAGTAGTAGGCAAATAAGGTCTTATAACAATATTCTCAAAAAAACAAAAAACAGCTATTTTAATAAAAACTAGCTTAGAACAAAAACCAGACACTCAACTTGAAATAGTCTTAAACAATAGCATTAGCAGCACTCGCAATCCTTGGCCATAAATCAGCACATTCCTTTCCAATTGGTCCAGTGATAGCAGATCCTAAATTCAACATACAATGATAATGCAATCATGTTATATTAAAAAAAAGGGTTTGAAATATATACCAAAATGATGCATTTTTTTGCAAATAAATATGTACCTTTCATTTCTCCCTTAGGATTGACGATAACACCAGCATTATCTGCATTAATAGAAACAAAGGTTTATATCAATCATCAGGAAAAAGACTGTATTTCTATTAACAAGATTAACTACAAATATGAATTTAATATGTAGGAATATATATACCAGCAGACAGGTAACACAAAGCAACAAGAAAAAGACTTCATGCTGTTAAAAACTGGTTCAACATTTTTGATTTATGCTTCTTCATTGAAATGGCCATGTACCAAAATGGTCACAATATTTTAATTTTTTAGAAGCAACAATAAAAAATCATACATTCTCAACTCCTACATGATTTTAACACATGGTTTTGAAACAGGGTTTTACCTAAATCAATAATACTAGAAGATAACATATCGTTTTCAAGATCTGGATAAAGTTAAAATAGGACGAATTGAAAAATCAATCTGCAACAAACAACTCTACCAGCTTCGTGTATGGTAAACACTTGTATCTATCAAAATGTTTTATGAAGTAACCCTAAAAAACAATCTTTGTCGCTCCCATTAGATCTTAGAAGTTCCATTTTGTATATACATCAAAAATATTATCAGAAGCACACATTCAGTGTACTCTACTAAACAAGCAAGATCATAATACGATTATTATTTGGACATGATACTCGATGGCAATTGATTATATTTCAAGCCTGAATGTAATTGAACCTTTGAAATCGATAAAATTTCTCTTCAAATTATATAAAAAAAAGTATAATCCAATGAAGCCAGATCATATAAAATTAACCTATATAAACATCTAAGACCTAAGAAACAAATTAATATCAAAGAAACTAACCTTCGAAGTACATGAAAACACCGTCCTTTCGGCGCCATGGCTTGCGTTGACGAACAATAACAGCAGGCATGACCTTCTTTCTGAGATCTGGCTTACCTTTCTTCACGGTGGCCATAACCATATCACCGACACACGCCGACGGCAGACGGTTAAGCCTACCCTTGATTCCCTTGACTGAAATGATGTACAGGTTCTTGGCACCAGTGTTGTCGGCGCAATTCACAGTGGCAGCCACCGGCAAACCAAGTGACATACGAAATTTGTTCCCAGCGGAACCTCCGCGACCTGAAAAACAAGAATCACATATTAAAATTAGCTGATGTTTTCATAAAAATCAACGAAACTACACCAAGTTTCTTAAACTTCCAAACCGATAAAAGTTGTAGGTGTGAAATTACAGTACCTCGCTTCGACATGGTTGATCGCCGTGCGTTCTCCTACGGCTGAAAGAAAGAGGGGTTTGATGATTTTATATGACGGGAGAGATTAGTTGTCTAGGGTTTTATCGGTTTTGGGCTTAAGCCCATCTAAGTCAATTGATAGTCCAGTATAAATTTTGTTTGGTTTATAATCTCAATAATGTGGGATTTAGTAATCTAAATCATATTTTATGATTTTTTTTCTATAAATAATGAACATAATTTTTCTAAAGTATAGTTCTTCGGAAGATGCATTCCGGAGCAGTCCAAACTCATTATTATGGCCGAATGTTATATATACAAGGCCTACACCTAAAAATAATAACCCAACACAAAGTTTTAAACCTATCTACTATAAATTCAATAAAACAGGTGATTTCTAATGTTTAATTTACTTGCATTTTTGTTTACAAACGATTTTCTATATTTTGGAATGTGAAAAACAATTCCGAAATATGAAAAAAAAAGTTTGGAATAACTTAATTTTTGTAATTATTTTTACTTTTAGCCATTATAACCATATAATTTATCTTAAAATCTGTTAGTATCATTTCTTAAAGAGAAAATAAGTCTAGGTTATCTATTAAAAGTGATTTCATAAGAGTACTAACAGAGTCTTCGGAATGTCTGTAATACAAATATCATTTTCGAAATGTGGGTTAAAAGACTTTTTTATTTTTTTGTGATATTGTTAAATTAATTTGTAAATTGATTGTTTTAAACCAATACCCCGTATTAGTAAGAACCAGTTCATTCGAAGATCAATTTCAATGGATGTTGTTGAACAAATAAATTATTTTCCATCTATACTAGCTTTCAGAATTGTCATCGATATAAGTAAATTTAATTAAACAAAAAGTTCATTCGTGTTGGATTTTTTTTTTTTTGCAGATAAAAAAAGATGTTGAATTAGGAAAAAAAATCAAACACTTAACCATCAAGGACACGTATAAAAATAAGAAGAAAAACAGAAAGAGTGTTAAAACTTAGATTGAAAGCAGAAAAAAACTCTAAAAGATCGGATCGAATTAAGTTTAAACAAACATGTTGCTTTAAACTAGTTGCATTTTATAACATTTGTTATGGTTACATTTTATAATGTTTGGTTTTATTTTTGGAACTACTTTACTTTTATAATACGTTTTTATATATTTTCAATCACAAACTTTGACATCCAACGAATCGAGTGGTGAGGATGTGTTGTCAATAGAATATAACATAATACGTCTTGAGGATGAGGAACAACGTCTTGTTGATACGATTATGTAAGAAATGATTCGTGATTATCAACGTGCGAAAGAGTGAGTGGCAATACTAGAAATCCTAATATATTATTATTCTGCAACCGAGGAGCATGGAAAACTAATGTTGTATAATATTCAAATGATCCTCATTACGATGTCCGAAGATATACGACGGTTTGTGAGTACAAGGAACATCATCGAGGAAGCACGTAGGACATGTGCAACACTAAAAGAACGAGTGCAAATGACTGATAATGTGTTCCGTCTAATTAAGATATGAAATTGTTTGAAAACCAGGTAAACACTGCTAGTTTGCACTGCATGCAAGTTCTCAATTATCCCAGAAATGAACTATAATTTTAGATGATGTAATTTTATTTTACACTTAAATATGTAAAATAAATGGTATGGTTTTCTTAAATGGAAGTGTTTTTCATTCACGTTAGTTAATCGGGTGTTACAAAAAGTTATCACATATTTAAATTGTTGTCCACAAATTTGGAAATTGTAAGGGATAAATATTTTGCTCATGGTCAATAAAATCTCCTCTAATTCTAACAACATATGTAAGACAGTCTTGTTTTGTCTTTATACAACCATATTTTACTTTTTTTTTAAAACATGATTGCATATAAAAACTATTTTACTTTATAAATTGCAAAAATGGTTAAAGGAAATATAAGCCTTTAACCTTTTTTGTTATACAAGAAAAATACATATATTTTAGTTTGTAATCAAAATTCAAAACTTACTTTTTTTCATTACTTCAAATTAATTATAAGAATGCTATTTGATTAACCGAAAGTTCTGAGAAACTCATTTTACTGCATATATATCTTGTAATTAATGATATCATATTTTTTTGGTTTTCTAAATTAAATATCATACATGTTGACATTTTTATTAGTCAAGATCAAATATTGGTGGAGACTATTGACGTCAATATATATAATATTTGTTTCAGGTCATCTTCTAGGTTTTAAAAAATTTGTACCATCTCATGCCACCGCAAAAGATGAAGAGATTTGCACAAGCGTAAACTATGGCAGTCGTAGTGCCGGTATTCGTGAAGAATCTGGAATGCATCTAGTAACCACTAGTTGTATGCCATTTTATTTTACTTTTCGGTTGTAATGCCTAAAATTACATTATTTATTTGTTTGTTTGCATGTGTTTAACTAAACCGGAGGGTGATTGTCTCAATTTGGCTACGCAGATACGTAATCACAAAGCAATAATTTCACGCATTACGAATTTACAAAACAACAAGACACTTACCGATGAACACTTGAAACGATGCATTTGCTTATCAAATATCGGAAGCAATGATTATTAAATAATTGAGCAAAAGGCTACAAAACCTTCCACTAAGAGGGTGGACGGTTTTGGAGGTCTTTTGGGGTTCTAGATTATCCCATGTGGATGATTAGGAAGTTGAATAATTACCAAGTCAAGATTTATTATATTGGTTTTAGGGTTATCCAGGGTTCCCTTTTTGCATTATATAAAGGCCATTAAGCCTTTGATTTTCGGCCATCACTCCTACATCAAGCATAGGCCGAAAATAATCTCTCCTCCCTCCGCTCTCCTTAATATCCTTCTTGCTAGCTTGGGTGTGAACCATTAGAGGTACGACGCTTATGGTGCTTGCTTCCAAAGAGGATTATTAGTTGTTTACTATAACAACTAAAAAGTATGTAACCCTTTCTTAAGTATTTTCGAAAATACTTTAGGGTTCCTAGGGTTCTTATTTGATGTTCATATTTATAGGTTTAATAGTGAAAACATATATCTTGTTTTAGGTTTCATGCACACTTAAGGTTTTTATGTTTGTTTTGTAATGTCTAAAACTCATCATCTTGGTTCTCCAAGACTGATCTGCATTCGGGTTATCACCAGATGAGGGTTAGAGAGGAGGATGTGCAGAAGACGGTATTTTGGACTCGTTATGGTCATTACGAGTTCGTGGTGACCCTTTGGGCTCACCAATGCTCTAGCTGCATTCATGGACCTCATGAATCGAGTATGCAGGCCTATGCTGGACCAGTCTATGATTGTGTTTATCGATAACATCCTGGTTTATTCCAAAACTCAAGAACAACATGAGGAGCATTTGAGAGAGGTATTGAAGACTTTAAGGAGGGAGATGCTGTATGCGAAGTTCTCCAAGTATGAGTTTTGGTTGCACGAGGTGCAGTTTCTGGGGCACATTGTCAACCAAAACGGTATTATGGTCGACGATTTATTTGAGCAGCTTCAGAGTGCATCTTGGTTCTCTAAGATTGATCTACATCCGGGTTATCACCAGATGAGGGCCAGAGAGGAGGATGTAACGAAGACATCCTTTTGGACTCGTTATGGTCATTACAAGTTCGTGGTGATTCCCTTCAGGCTCACCAATGCTCCAGCCGCATTCATGGACCTCATGAATCGCGTATGCAGGCCTATGCTGGACTGATTTGTGATTGTGTTTATCGATGACATCCTGGTCTATTCCAAGACTCAGGAACAATATGAGGAGCATCTGAGAGAGGTATTGGAGACTTTGAGGAGGAAGATGTTGTATGCGAAGTTCTCCAAGTGTGAGTTTCGGTTGTGCGAGATGCAGTTTCTGGGACACCTTGTCAACCAGAAACGGTATTCTGGTTGATCCGACCAAGGTTGAGACGATGATGAGGTGGGAGGTTCCGAGGTCTCCATCTGAGATTCAGAGTTTCCTTGGATTGGCAGGTTACTATCGGAGATTCATTCAGAATTTCTCCAAGATAGCGGTTCCTTTGACCCGGTAGAGTGAGCGCATAGTGGGTCAAGTGGCTTCCTTTGATTATGATAGTCGGGTATTATTGACCCTTCACCGGAGGGTGTGGGTTCCATATTGGGGTGGAGCGCATTAGGTTTTGATGGAGGAGGTGCACAAGTCGAGGTTCTCTATTCATCCCGGAGCAACAAAAATGTATAGAGATCTTCGCCCTGACTATTGGTTGTCATGCATGAAGAATGATGTGGCCTAGTATGTGGAGAGGTGCTTGACTTGCAGGAACGTCAAGGTTGAGCCTTAGCGACCACACGACAAAATGGAGCCGTTGGGAATTCCCGTTTGGAAATAGGAAGAGATTACGATGGATTTTATCATGAAATTACCTCGAACGACACGCATAGTGGATTTGATATGGGTCATCATGGGTCGATTGACTAAGAGCGCACAGTTTAATCCAATCCATGAGAGTGTTTCGGCTGAGAAGATGGCCTACATTTACATTTAAGAGGTGGTGACACGACATGGGGTGCCGGTTTCCGTGGTTTCTGATAAGGATGTTCAGTTTACTTCCAGGTTCTGGAAGAGATTCCACGAGGAGTTGGGTACTCATTTGCATTTCAGTACGGATTTTCACCCGCAGACTGATGGTCAGAGTGAGCAGACTATCTGGACATCGGAGGACATACTGGATTTCGGCGGGAGTTAGGATACGTATCTTCCTTTGGTGGAGTTTTCGTATAACAATAGTTATCATACCAACATTGATCGGCCTCCTTTCGAGATGCTCTATGGGAGGAAGTGTAGGACCCCGATATGCTGGGGTGAGGTGGGTCAGCGAGTCATGGGTAATACGGAGGTGGAACTTCGGACGACGAACTGATTCAGCAGGTTCAATGCAAACTTCAGACAACATAAATCCGAAAGAAGATTTACGCAGATAGACGCCGGTCAGACTTAGAGTTCCAGGTTAGCGACATGGTACTCCTAAAGGTGTCGCCTTGGGAAGGTGTCATCTGATTCAGGAAGCGGGACAAGCTAGGCCCCATGTATATTGGTCCTTTCAGGGTTTTAACATGGGTGGGCAGGGTT